TGGAGCTATTAGCAATGTGAAAGCTGTACTTACGTAGGCTTGTACTCGCAGCCGACAATCGTCCTTCCTGTGCACCACATCACGCCGCATCCGATTTTGTCACTGTTGTGCCAAACTAGCTGAAACGACGATATCATTTCGTTTCGTTTTTTTTTCGTTTTATCGTTTCTTGAACTCCGGCAAGAATTAGAGTCACCTGAGAGTAATGACCGACACCTCTGTTGAAAACGTCCATGGTTAGCGTGTTATTCGGAGGTACGCCTTTTGACTCCAGTTCGCTGAACCAGGCGTCGACACTCTATAATGGATTCGTTGCCATCTCAGTGTGGTTCTGCGTAAGGTCGATATTCCCACCGATGATGCAGATCTTTTCTTGTCCCAGTTCTGCGCGCGTAATGAATATAGGTTTTGTCCCCAACCTTTCCTGGCATCATAGGAAGAATGTCCCCATATGCACTGGTTGAGCGCATTCTGCATATTTTTCTCAACTTTCGCAGCTCGTCAACTCTATACTATAATTTATTTGCATAGTCGACACACCGAGAAATGAAGTCGTCTTGACTCTAGAGTTATCAAGGATAGATGTGTAGGGCTGTCTAGGGCCGTGAAACATTGTTCCTAAAAATTATTAGCGCTGCAGCAGCTGCAGTGACATCCCCTGCCCCGAGTATCACGGGTTGAGGGTCATCTCTGAAGCCCGCACTTCGGGGCGGAATCTCTCGAATTTGGATTTTGGCGCAGGTCCTCTGGCAACTTGTGACCTGGAAGATTTTCTGCCTTCTGAGCTGCTAATCCATGCCGAGCGACATGTACTGTAACAAGAACAAACCGATATTGGTTGTGCTTATCGATGAAAATTTGCCTGAGCTCGTCCGTCATTCCATTTTGAAGGGAACAGATAGTGTCTGAAAAGTGCTTTGAAGTGTTCTGGATTCGAAATGGAAAATATACAGCGCATCTCATAAGCACACACCAGCCTTCACCAGTAGTTGTTGAAGAACCTAAATAATTTTCTCAAGCAATTGGATGATGGAGCGTTGGGAAAGGAAACTCACTAGGCAGGTTACCGCGATTAGTATCATCATTGCCTCGAGCAGAACAGAATGCCTTCTGCCCTCTAACGGCGCTTTTATAAGACCCTTTCAGTATGCAAAAAGTGCATGAGGGGATCCATTAGCGTGAATGTGGCGGAAGGCATCAGCACCTGATACAATATTTCGATCTGCTGATCCCATTTCCGCTTTTTTGCGACATTATTTGTCCCTCTTGCAAGGTTCTTCGCTCTTGACAAATATCATCGACAGATCCTTTTTGAGTGCAAACTTCTGAACTGTTCTTTGCACACAGCAGCAGCTTTAGAACCCAACTCCATATGCTTCAGCATCAGCAACTTTATATGCTGAATCATATGGATTCGGGTTCTGAAACAAGAAAGGGAATTGTTCTCGGAAAAATTAGAGAAACGTGTCAGGAAGCAGGAACAGTTTAGTGCGAAATTCAATGTGATTGCTAGAATGATTGAAGGGGGGGGGATGGGGGTAACACCAGAGGAGGAAATTGAGGGGATCTCCCCAACGACAGGACATGCTCTGGATATGACTTATCAAACGTGCAGTCATTGGCGAATGTCCCTCACGATTCCCTTCAGAACTGACCTAGCCAAAACACTGTCTCTTACTTAGACTGAGACCAGTTCCTTGGATAGGCCACGTCATATTCCTGATAGCCTGCGATTCTGAACGGAGGCAGAGTGCATGCCG